AACAGCTTTGATTCTCTTTCATTTTAGAGCTGCTGACCTTTTTGCATCTATGTGTGCCATTGATAAAGTTCAGCTTTATGATGAAACTAAACATGAAAGGGCTCTCCTTGGTGGCACAGGGGTTAAGTCTCAGTGTTACAGGGCAGGAGAGAGGGGCACCCCTGAACCCCCAAACCTGCCTGCCCTAAACAGGTTCTGCCATCCACCACATCAAGACAAAAGAACTTTAATGGAAAGGAACTATAATACAATTAAGTGTACAACACAGAAGACAAAGACTATATTTTCTAAGTAAACACCTAAAGTTACCCATCCCCTTGTGCGTAAAAAGTCTACCCAAAAGGGATTGATCCAAAACAAGGCCTGAAAACCCTCCACAAGACTAACACACCTATTGGCTGGGACCCATAGAAAAGGGTCAGAAATGGCCAGACAAATCTGGGAGGAAAAGAGCACAATCAAAATTAAGATAAAAACTGCCATAGTCAACCTCCCCATGTGTCTCTCACTGACATCTGTTTCAATCAGTCCAAAGCCAAGAAACAAGCACAGTATCTTCACATGTCTTTCTCTGCCCCATGTGGCTTCCTCAGGTCTCATTCTGGCTCTCCCATCCTGCTTCCTTCTCCAGATTCCTTCTCTTCTCTATTTAGCTCCACCCTCCTACTGGATAGGACAGGGAACCTGGAATTTCCCCTTTTCCTGGGGACCACCTTGTTACATCAGCACTATGAAACTATCAGTAGCCATTGCAGCCCAAGTTCAATCTGATCAGTGGCCAGGGAGCTAACCCACAATGTGCGTGTAGCAGACTTCTCTTTTCTCAGCAGTGTATTTCAGTAGATCTGCCTGTTCTGCTCCTACTCTGTCTCTGTGAATCTTCTCACCATCCTCCCTCATACCCCACCCCCCACACCTCTGGCCTACACCCCAGCTCTTTTATGCTTACATAAATCTTTAAAAAAAAAACAAAAAACATGGGGCCCTCCCTGGTGGCACAGCGGGTTAAAGCACAGCACTAAGAAGCTAAAGCCACTTGCGCATGAGTTCGATTCCCGCCTGCCCCGGAGGTGACCACATGGCGTGGCAGACCTCTCCTGACCCGCCCGCTGCTCCCCTCAGCAGTGTACTTCGTCGATCTGCATGTTCTGTTCCCCATTCTGTCTCTGGTGAAGCCTCTCGCCACCCTTGAGCCTCTGGCCTGTACCCCAGTTCTGTATACACAAATAAATAAATCTTTAAAAAAAAAAACATGAAAATTTGAGATGTTAGTGTACAATGCAGCATACTCTTAAAGGAGAAATGGCACCCAGTATAATATTTCACATATTTACTATCACTTAAATTCATATTTTCATATTTCATAAATTCACTTATTTTCATATTTAACAGTGATGTCTAAAGTGAGACAGAAATATTATTACATAGCCATTGAAAAGATGAAGTTGAAAAGTGACTTTCTTGATAACACATACCACTTATGGGGTACTTATGTGCTGAACACTGTGATAGGTGCTTCATATCCATATTTCTAATTTTAGAAGGTATAAATGTTATCATTACCTTTATTTTCACATAAGGGAATTGAAGTTTGCAAAGCCATTAAAGGAAGCATCTATTATAGTGGTAGAGAAAAAGCATAGTGGAGAAAAGTGAGGAACTTTACACTTATATAATTGGAATATTTAACACATGCATTTATTATTAATAGTAAGTTATAGGTCACACAAAAACCTATGTTAAAATGTGGCATCTCAAATAAGAAACTCTTCTCACTATTAAACTGATACTTTTGATTTCCGTCTTTCATGTGAATGGTAGAGTAGAATTAGACCAAGCTACTATAAGCTTAAAATAATGACATTATGAAATGAAGCCCAGTTGAGGTAAATTAAAATGAAAATTTTTTAATTTGTAGAGTAGGGATAAGAAGAGTAGCTTATATTTTCCAAGCATTTATATTAATATTGTCACATCATCCTCAGCAAACTAGTGAGGTGAGTATTATTATTATCTTCATTTTTTCAGGTGAGTCAAAGTTCATCATTATCTTAATGGGTGAGAAATCCCCTTCTATTTCCAGGGCTGCATTCTTAATCACGGCAGCATCTTTAAGTTTTGTGAGGATTAAAGAACATTGCCAAAGCATTCAGATAAAGTATATCTTCATATTACTAAGCTGAGTTTAATTTAATTTTTGCCAGTTTTGTGACTTAAAATATATGAGAAAGCTAATTTTACAGCATACAAAAGAGCTCAAATTCCTTGTTTATTTTTTCTAATTCCTTGTTTATTTATTTATTTTTAAAGATCTATTTATTTATGCTTACAGAACTGGGGTACAGGCCAGAGGTGTGGTGGGTGAGAGGATTCACCAGAGACAGAGTGTAAAGCAGAACAGGAAGATTGACAAAGTACACTGCTGAAGGGAGCAGCGATCGGGTCAAGCAAGGTCTTCCAGGCCATGTGGGTCAGCTCCGGCTGCAGTAGCTTTGGAGAGCTTCATAATACAGTGCTTTAACCTGTTGCACCACCAGGGAGAGCCCCCTAACTCCTTGTTTAAGGTGCTTGAAACTACTTAAAAGTAAAAATACATGATTTGTTTTTAAAGATTTTGAAGTATTTTCTCAACTGAGAATCCAAAAAGATCTTATGTAACAATTGGTAGTCTTGAATAACTAGTCCTTGGAGCTTCCCTATTTAAATATTTTGTTGGTCTCATTTAAGTAAAAGAGCCAAACCAGTACAAATAAATTTGTGTTTTTTTTTTAAGATTTATTTATTTATGCATACAGAACTGGGGTACAGGCCAGAGGTGCAGGAGCGGTGAGAGGCTTCACCAGAGACAGAGCGAGGAGCAGAACAGGAAGATTAATGAAGTACACTGATGAGGGGAGCAGTGGGCGGGTCAGAGAGGTCTGCCGCACCATGTGGATCATCTCCCGGGCAGGTGGGGATTGAACTCATGCTGAAGTGGCTTTAGCTTCTTAGTGCTGTGCTTTAACCCACTGCGCCACCAGGGAGGGCCCAAATTTGTGGTTTTTAAAACTGCATATTCATGGCCTTCCCTGGTGGCACAACAGGTTGAAGCACAGCACTATGAAACTTTTATTGAAGCCACTGCAGCAGAAGTTCAGTCTCTGGCCAGGGAGGTGACTCGTATGGTATGGCACCAGACTTCTAGCCAACTCACTGCTCCCCTCAGCAGTATATTTCAGTACATCTGCCTGTTCTACCCACTGCCTCTGGTGAATTTACACATGCACCCCCGCCTCCTCCACACCTCTGGCCTATACCCCAGATCTTTATGTATAACTAAATAACTCTTTAAAAAAAATAAAGCTGCATATATTCAATGTAGCCAAGTATAATATATTGTTTATATAGATATAGGCAGCTCAAACTACTACTTTTTTCCTGGATTGATTGTAAATACCAAACTGAAAAAAAAGCAAAAGCACATCTCTGTTTTTACCCACAATTTCAAGCTGTTCAGATCCTGTGTCATCAATTTTTAAATGTAGCTATAGAATCCCCTCTACTGATAAACTATATAAATTAAAAGTATTTGGAAACAAGTAGACTTTTTCTTAGAATGTGTGTGTGTTGTCCTCTCATCTATCTATTCTCTTAATTAGCATTTTAGCATTTCCCTTTCATTTAAATGGAGCCAAGGGAAAGGGAATGAGGGGTTTACCATTTTGATTTTTAAATAGATATTTATATTTATAGTGTTCTCTAATTTATAAAATTAGTAATATACTTATCTAAGTTATAGGGTGAAGACTATAAAATAGATCTGCAGATAATTTTTTTAATTACAGATTTATAAGTAATTTATTTTCTAAATCTTTCGCATTGCATTTTGTAACTAGGAGGGAAATTACTTATTTTATTGAACTGATGGAAATGGAAAGTAGCTAACCTGAATTGGCTTCTTTATGAGAGAGTAGAGTTACATATAGTTATACTTTTGGGACTTGGTACTTCACATCAATTATATTGTTCAGAAGAATATGTTACCAAAAAAATCAACCCTTGTTCAATATGAACATTTAAGTGAAAGTATTTAATTTTTTTAAAAAGTACTTCATATATTATTTTTAAAATGTGGAATGGATGTATCATAGAGGCTAGAGACTATTGCATAGCTTCCTTTTGTAACAATTTATAGCAAATATACATTGAGAGTTTATCAAGTCCAAATTTCCCTGTAAATCTCAAAAATGCATTCCTGTCTTCATTCACTGAACCTTAGTTGAGCAGATAAGGTAAAGCATTGTAACGCTTTTAGCACAAAAATCGTAGTAAACTTTTGGCAAATGCTGATTTTCTGTAATTTTGCTGGGCAGCAAAAATTAGCACATTGCCTTACCAATTTTCAAAATCTGTGCTTGATAGATGAGAGCTACTAAAAGTTCTGTTGCTAGTTAGAAGTTGCAAAAATTGTGTCAATTTTTTGTCTTGGGAAACAACACTGTCACTGCATGTTTGTGCATTTCTTAACATTTTAAAATGTCAACTTGTGAAATAAAATGTAAGTCACTAGTAAATTGTAACATTGTATCTGTTCTGAGGGTTTTACAAATTTAATGTTACAAAAATGCAAGCACAGAAAAGATTAAGAAAATTTAGTAGTGGTGGAGAGAGAAATCTACATAGCTTGTATGCAAATTTCATTTGTAATTGGCCATATCTGTAGTTTTTGCCTTGTAGAAAGCAAAAAATATCATGGTCATTTTTAATAAGAATAGTTGCTAAAGAGTCTAGTGTTTTGCAAGGAAGTGATTGCTTGAAAAAAAAAGTTAATGCCTTCTACTTGTTCTTGTACAAAATACGGAAAAACCGAGCCATAGGGACTACGCTTTTCGCTGAGCAAGGTTCCCTCTTACGTTTATCTGGCTGCAGGCGAGTCTTGGTGGGCCTGCGCGGGGTGGAGCCAACCATGACGCACCCATGCGCCGCAAGGCATTGTGGGCCCGCGATTTAGGTGGTTGGAGGCGAGGTGGGGGCGGCCGTTTGTTTTCTCGTGCTCCGGCTCGCGCGCTCTCTTCCCTCCCTTCTCCCCCCCCTCAGCGAGCGGCGGGGCGGAGAAACGGCGGCAGTGGCAGCAGCGGCTGTAGCAGCAGTAGCTGTAGCATCGGACACTCCTGTCTCCCTTCCAGCGAACCGGTTCCTCTTCCCCCTCCCTCTCACTGTTTGTTGTGTGTTTGATGTGTTAAAGCAGGAGCGAGAACCCGAGCAGCGCCATGAGCAACACTACTGTTGTCCCCAGCACTGCAGGCCCGGGCCCCAGCGGCGGGCCCGGTGGCGGCGGTGGCGGCGGTGGAGGCGGCGGCACCGAGGTAATCCAGGTGACTAATGTCTCCCCGAGCGCTAGCTCTGAGCAGATGCGGACCCTCTTCGGTTTCCTAGGCAAGATCGACGAACTGCGCCTCTTCCCGCCTGAGTGAGTATCGTCCACCATCACTGTCTACTAACTTCTCCCCAGCCTAGGCCTGAGGCAGGCCTAGGGTTTCCTTGCTCTCTGTGGCCGTAGTGTGACTGACTATTGCATTTCCTTATGAAAAAATCCAGTAATAATGGAGAGTCAGAGCCAGAGTTTGGGGGATTAAGAGATCCCAGCTCTTAATACCGGGATTTTTTTTTTCCTTCCTTATAATATGCCAACGTGGTGGTTCTTTTTTGGTCGCTTGAAGCAAAGCAAGCTGCACTTTATGTATTTTGTATGTAAGCTACTTTTTTTTTTAACTATCAAGTGTGTGCTTTCTTTAAAAAGTAACAAAATTATTCATTCCTGTGTTTGATTTTGAACTTTGGCTGTGCTTTCTTACTGCTGAGTATTATTGGAGATACTGTTTAATAATTCAAGATTAATATATTTTTGACTAGTTAGTGTGACTGCTTAGATAGATTCATACTGAAACCTGGGGTATTTCTTTGTTATATGTACATTTTTGACATTTCATAAAAGGTTCTTGAGCCAGATTTTAACAGAACTTTAATTTTTTTTTTCGTTTAGCGTGGCCTTTTCTTTTTTATCTTGTTATCTCACATAAGTTATTTTTATTGCAAAAGTGTAAAATGAATGAATTTATTAAAAGGAAAAAATAAAGTAGCTGTTAATAAGCTAAGATGTAATGGCAGAACATTTGAAATAACAGTCCTGTACTCTTTGGGAAGATTGGTAAAAGAATGAAAATTCACATGTACTTTCAGTAAATACTCAGTACCCATTGTATGTTTTTAAGTTTTATGATGTCACATAAGTACTAAACAGAAAATTGGAATGCTCAAGTAATCTACTGTTGTGATGTGTGTAATAAATCATTAACTGATGTATATTTGCTCAGTTGATCATAATGAGGCATTTTAAGTCTGACCATATTTTATCACAGTCTTAGGATTTATGGAACAATGTTTTTGTTGTAGTTATTTTCAACAGAAATTTGGCAGTGAAGTATAAACAGCTTTCTTGGTATGATCGTAATGAAATAGATGTTCCACTATTCAATTTTCTCACAGCATACTAGTTAAGTAGTTTGTGAAATTAACAGTAAAATGGCAGAAAATCAGAGTGATACTTTTTGTTTCAAAGTATTCAAGATACTGGATTTGTTTAGACAATTTTTCACAGGATTTTAAGAATTCTTTTATAATTGCTAGATTTAAAGTGCTGTTTTTGCTTTTTCTTTTAAGATGTTCTTTTTTATGATGCTTTATAAAAAGTTCACAAAAGAAGTATAGGCAGTTTACTTGATTTGTCATTTATTCAAAGTGCAAGTAGTATCTTCTAAAAGGGAGCAATAATGGAGCAGAATATGGCATTTTTAGCTTTGTAATCAAAAGTTCTATCATAAATGATGTGTGCCAGATAACATAATGTCAGGTGCTAGGCTTTAAGGGGACTCTTCCTTGAATTTGAAGAGAAGCTAAATATTGACACTTTTGCTCTTTGACTCCTTCCTGTATGTTCCCATATCATTTTTCTTATCTAAGGATATTCAAGATTACCACATAACTAATCTTACATTACCTTACTGGGCTTCCCAATTTCAGTAGTATTTATTTAGGTGCCTATTTATTCATTTAACAATTTAAACACACTATAGTCTGCAACAGTAGATTGATTGGGGATAATGTTCCATATAAACACGTTTGTCTTCTAATTTTTTTATGTTGTGTTTTAGAGCTCTTTTCCCCTAGATATGCCTTTGATATGCCTGCCTGCTTTCTTAGGTTGCTCAAATGTCAACCAGAGAAGTACTCCTTGATTATAATATGTAAAAATACCCATATTCTTTGCCTACTTTATATTCTGTTTACCTATTGTTTTTTCTCTGTAACACCCATCACACACTCACAGGTATAAGTTTAACTTCCTGCCTCTTCTAGAATATGAGAGTCTTTGAGGACATCAACATCTAGGGGACATTGAAAGTGAGCATTAGACCACACCTATTGAAATTGTAAATTCAGCCTAAAGTGCCTATAGAGGAGGGAGGATCCTGGGATTATGCCAGACATTTCAGTGACAGACTCTTAAAGAAGACTTCCTTTATTTGATTATTGAGAATCTGTTTATTGAGAATCTTGGGTCCTTTTAAGCAAAAAGAAAGGGCTGACCTATAATTTCATCCAGTGATACACTGTCATCTTCACAGTGAACAATATTCTAACCCTTTACTACTTCTATAGCTATTAAAAAGCATCTATCCAATGTAGATTATTTTTAAAGTTACTTTGATTCTGTTTTCCCTAAAATGCGTATTTGAAGTTCAGCATTGCCTGAGTGTCTATTTTATGTTAGATGCTTTGCTGTTTTATCATACTTAGTCCCTAAGTGGGTTGGAATTCACATAGGTTGTTTTATATACCCTAGCTACTTTATATAAGTATCAAAACTCATCATTGTGATTTTTCTCTTTGCCTCTGGATTAGGAATTCCTTGGTTTAGCAAAGCAACTTATGAGTGGTTTCATTCTTTTATACTGATATTCTTCAAATGTTTGGTAAAGATCCCAGTGAAAGCATATGTCAAAGTTATACAGTAGCTTAACTACTGTAATGTTGCAGATAAGTTTAAATTCATAATTCACTTTTTATGACCAAAAGTAGATAACTTTGATGATAATGTAATTATTTAAAAATCAATGTGGTTAGGTAAGGGAAAGAACTTAGTTTGCCTTAAAAAAATCTTTTTCTTTTAAATATATGCAGAATTTTATTTTTCTTCAGAAACTCCAAAGTTTGCATTCATAAGATAGGACTTGAAAGAGTATTGTCAGTGGCCTAAACCTAAAGTTCTTGTACTTTATTTCTGGAGCACAGATGGCAATTGAGGATCTTGTTAAGGATCAGAGCCCCCCTATAAAAGGGACTCTCAAATTCTTTGGGCTTGAAATGAAACATTGAAATCTGAGTTTCCTATGTACACACCAGCAGGTTCTGAAACAACCCTTAGAGGAAACTAAGAAATACTAGAAAATGGTACCACCATTCTGCATTGAAGGACAGAAGTATCCTATGTAGCTCACTTTTCGCTATGTTACTCCACATTCTTTTCAATTGCTCTGCCTCATCATATTCTTAAAAATAAGAAGTAAAACAATTATATTTGCAGAAGTGGCATTTGTACAAAATCCTAGGGTATCAGAATCAAGTTTAAGTACATTTTCTAATGTGTTTAATGTGCCTTTCATTAATAAATTTTAACAGTACAGTTGTGGGCTATATTATATAAAGATATATAGTAAATAGCTATGATTTTAAACCTTTAAACAAGGATCATTTAAAGTCAGGAGATAATTCGCCCTTCCAGGTGTCTTACTGTCCGTCTTTCCATGGTCTTTAAATTATGGTGTTTAGGTAAATATTTTATCCTTACCAACTCTTAATGGGTTTGATATATCCAGTTGTACCAGTGTTATGACATGAGTGGGTAGAAAAAAATGTGAATCGTTTTAAAGTTGCCAATTAAATGGAAAAGCATTGTGGACATGTGGGTGGTACTTTGTAACTTTTTTAAAAAAAGATTTATGCATACAGAACTGGGGTACAGGCCAGAGGTGGAGGGGCGGTGAAAGGGTTCACCAGACACAGTGGGGAGCAGGACAGACAGATCGAAGTACACTCCTGAGGGGAGCAGCTAGCAGATCAGGAGGGGTCTGCCATGCCTGTGGGTCACCTCCAGGGTGGGGGATCGAACTCACACGGAAGTGGCTGCCCATGCTGCTGCATCCCAACCTATTGTGCCACCAGGGAGGAGGGCCTGGTACTTGGTAATTTTTTTAAAAACTGTTTTATTCTTTAAGGACCTCATATTTGATTTTTTTATTCTCCTTTTAGTAAGATGACAATAAATGATAGCAAAGAAGTGGAAAGGTCATTGTATAAAAAATGAAGTTGCTACTGTTTCCCAAGGCACTATGTTGTTTAGAACACAAACGATAGCATTTGAAGAGCTTTTTAATTTAGTGATAAAAATATGGATGTCAGAATAAAAAAATGAAGGTACTTTAGTCCTGTAACTGCTAAAAATGATATTCTTTCCACTACTTTGACTGCAGCATTGTTAGATGTTGTCAGTAGAACTTCACATTTAAAAATAGTATTTCCTTTTCAAAACTTTTATAGGTAAACTTCTATAAAAAATGCCTTAAGTATCAATATTTAATCTCTGAAATATCTGGTATAACCAACTGTGGTATAATTATCACATGGATATCTTTCAATAGAAAACTTTAAAATAAGCTTTGTTATAATAACATTCAAATATTATAAACTTCCCTTTCTCTTTATTGAGTCAGGATGCTATTGACTTCTTAAATACTGGTTCTTTATTTTGTGCATATTAAAATTGCCTGGAAAAATTAAAGAAGGCAAGTCACTTATCAGCAATCTTGATTTAATTAATGTGGACTAAAGAGCATGATTTATTTTTCCCCTACAAAAAGACTTCTTATGTTTAACTAGGCTTAGTGTGCTTACTGCTGCCTTAGGGAGTTGGTTATCAAGTAACTTGGAGCTAGGTGACAACAGTCCATGCTTTATTAAATCTCTTCCTCATACAGAATGATTCATAGCAGAAATTTGAACCACTTTAGAGAAGAAAAAAACAAAAGCCATTGCTCCTTACGTAGTCCAGCCTCAGTTGCTATAACTTGGCATTATGGCATTTGTTTTACTACGAAGGCATTTCACTAAAGGAAGTGACTGACTTACTGAAATATTGCACAATAGTGCTGGGGCATGAGGCCAGGGTATGCTTTCCCTGTGATTATTTTTTCTCTTAGAGTTATCTAAGCCAGAAAGTCTTTAATTATTTATAGTACCTGAAATGGTCTTGTATGTACAGCATAAGACATATTTATATTTAGTAATAAGCAGGTTGGGAAAACCCATTAAATTATTATTAAATATTGGTGATGGGAAGCCCCTGGGGATTACAACTGAAATGGAAAAATGTACAAAATGATGTAAAAATAAACTATTATATTATTTTTTATATTATTAAATATTTTTGTTTTCCTATAATGTTACTTGTTTCCAAAATGAAAAACTTTCCTGAAAGGTTTTCTAAGCCAGAACTCGTAGCCTGTATTTATGGTATGGGGGGAAAAATGTTGGCACTTTGGTATGCTCACACTCAAAGCTTTAGTTTTATATTGTTTTTAATTTGAGGAACTGTAGTTTTTTGTTTTTAATTTTATAATAGTTTATTTTTACTTATTTTTGTGCATTTTCCATCTCCGTTGCAATCCCCTTGAGTTTCCCATCACCATATCACCCATGTGCCATCATCATAGTCCAGTGCATTTCCCTCCCCCAGCTGTTACTGATCCCATTCCCCACTCCACCCCCACAAAATGTCTCTGGTATATAGCTGTTCATCATTATCATTTTCTCATCTATTCCGTTATATTCCTGCTATGAGAAACCATCCAGTATTTTTCCTTTTCTTTCTGGCTTATTTCACTGAACATGAACTTTTCCAGCTCCATACATGTTGCTGTAAAAGACATGATATGTACCACATCTTTTTAATCCAATCATCCATTTTTGGGTATTTGGACTGTTTCCATGTCTTTCTAATTGTGAATAAAGCAGCAATAAACATGAGGGTGCAGGTATCTTTTTGAATCAGTGTTTTTATGTCTTTTGGGTAGATACCTAGGAGTGAGATTGCTGGGTCATATGGAAGCTCCATGTTTAGCAGTTTGAGGAACCCCCAAACAGTTTTCTATAGTGGTTGTACTAGTTTGCATTCCACCAGCAGAGGCACTGTAATTTTAAAGTGATTTTTTTTTAATCTGCAAATTGTATTTGAGTTCATTTGATAGTTATTAGAAATGTTTTCTTTTGCACTCATTAAAATATATGCAGTAAGGTATTTGTATCTGCCTAGCTCACAATGAATGCAACTATTGACTTGTGGATCATATATTTGTGTTTTAGCTGATATTTATCTCTGTGTTGCTTATTTTTTAGTGATTCACCTTTGCCAGTTTCATCCCGTGTCTGCTTTGTTAAGTTCCATGATCCAGACTCAGCAGTTGTGGCACAACATCTGACAAACACTGTATTCGTTGACAGAGCTTTGATAGTCGTACCATATGCAGAAGGTTTGTGCTTTGTTTAACTACCTATTGGGCATCCTATGATGACCATCTACCTCAGCATAGTTTTAGAGTGAGCCTTAGTAGCATGTTAAATATCTAAGCTATTAACATTTTGAAACCCTTGTTATACTGTAGTCCACATTCTAAAAATTAGAAATCAAATGTTTTTGTAAGATTTTAGCCTTTTGTATTCTCTTAAAAATAAAGTTTTAAGTTCAATAAAATTATCTCCCCATTTAATTTTAAGTTCAATAAAATTATTTTCCCATTTGTAATTTCCTTAAGATATCCATTTAGTTAACTTAGATAATTTAATACTGAGCTTTATTGGAAAAGTCCTGAAGGTGAATGGTTCACTCCATGCACAAATAAATAGAAACTTAAAATAAATGCATGATTTTATCTCTTTTTTTGGATAAGTAACTAGGTTAGTTCTGTTTCTTAGTGCTTCCACTTACTGGTAACTTTAAAAAAAAAAAAAAACCCACATTGAATTCCAGTATACCAAGGGTTTGCAATGGTTTTGGTTTTTAATGAAGTTCAAGATTTCCTGTAGTTTAGGTGCCAGATGGGCACTGGGTGTTTTGTTTTTATGCCAGATTTTCTTGTTCATTCTTGCTATATTTTCTAGAATATCTCTAAATAATAAATTCTTCTCTCTGTTATTTGTGTGTGTGATTTTTGTAGTGGAGAAGGCAAATGCAAAACTCTTCCAGATGACTGAAAAACAGTGGGTCCTCTGCAGCTACAGGGGATTCTAGACATTAACTAAAGGCCAGCAAGCACTCAAGTCCCCCAAGTGTTTTCCTGGTGTAACCATTTGTTAACTACATTTTCTCTTTTTACATTTTAGGCTGTTAAAGTAATTTGACAGAAAATAATGAGCAGGGTTTGGGGATCTAAAAAGCCACTGTGACAAGACAGCACTATTTTAATTCCATTTTGTAATTTTCTAAGACATTTTATAATTAGTTTGTTCCCATTGTACTGCTACTTTATTTGACTTTTGGTAACTATAAATTTTAAATCACTGAAATATAATAGAATTACTGGATTTAAGTTATAATTTGACATATATGCTGACCAGGTCTTAAAATGCTTCATTCACCCTTTCCTTAATGAACTGGTCAGTGTAAACAGTCTTGATATTGTTAATTTCAGATGCTATTCTTAGATCTTTGAATACCAATGTGAACATTTACACTATATCTTGTAAACATTGTGAAATGTCTAGTCCATAAATCTTTGAAAAATTAACTCTGTGGTTTTTGAAAAAAATTGAAGTGCATCCATAGATGGGTTAAGGCATGTTATATAACAGTACATTTATCTCATGGTATTAAAGTATGTGAGCCCAATTTTATGGTTTTTTTAAATATATATATATGTGTGTGTATATATGCTGATGAACTTTTGAGTTAGTGTGTTTTTGGTTAAGCAATTTCTTTTATGTCAGTGTGCCTGTTGTACAGTAAGATTTTATCACCAATAGAAAATTTTCAGAATTCAGATTCAGGACACTATCATAAAATAGACGATAGTGTTTGGAAAAAGGGTCAAATCATGTGATTAATGTGCAAAACATTTAACTAGCTTTTAACCTTTAAAGAATTCTTATTGCCTAAGTAATAATATAGTTCCCAAACCCTGAACATAATACAGTATATCATATAACTGGATTTCATAACTCTTTTTAGACCATGATAAATTTTGGGGTCTGTTTTGAAAGTGAAATATTTGGGAGTTTTATATACAGAATTACAGAATATTGAGTGCCAAAGTCTGTTTTTGCTGTATTTTACTTCTAGTATGGTATGCTGTATTTATGTTGTTTCCATTAAATAACTGGGATATTCAACCCCTTTGTCACCATTCACCCTGGTTTTAGCTTTCACACTTTGGTGTTGGCTCTTGGTCAGTGTTCTAGAGCAATAGACACAAAGTTTACGGTAAGGAATAGTTTTAATTGCTAAAACTTAGCTAGATTTGGAAGGAACTCTTAATAGTAATGGATTTGGGGGTTATTTAGGTTCCTTGGTTAATGTTTGTTTCTTTTGTCTGTTTCTTTTTCTTTCATTTCTACACATTCATGCAGTATTTCATGGTTCTATCAAAGCAGCAGTAAAAAAAATACTCTTGACGCATGAAAATTAACTGGTGAGGGGCCTCATTGCTATTTTTAAAATTGTAGTTTTATTTTTAAATAGTCCTTTTTTAATCAGAGGATCAGATGCATGACTTTTTTAATGGATGCAGATCTTCTATCAGGTGTCTCACAATAAATTCAAGAGGATTTTAGTTTGCCAGAAATGTTGCAAATGCACTAATTTGAGTAAGATGTTGATACTTAATATTATCCTCTTGAGACATAATTTTGCATGCAAATTATCCCATAATCTTTGTAGGTTTGTTAATGATGCATTAATGCCCTATATCTAAATGATCTTCTCCCTCCCTCCATAACTCTTGGTATCTAAATTGATGACAGCTCTGACACAAGCAAGATAACAGTGCTGTGTAGTATACATTTGTTTATATTATCGGCACTTCTCAGTATAGGTGGAAGGAACCATTACCTTTATTTAACAGTGGTTTTTCTTTTTTGTTGTTGTGTTTTACAGTTCTTTTCCCTGGTTCAGCCTGAACTATATACCAGGCCCTGCTGAAAATACCACCCAACAGTTTTCTTCTGCAGCTTATCCAGTTTCTCTTAAGTGCCCTGTACATATTGTATGTTTTATGATGAGATGCAGTTTCTTAATATGTATTACAGAAATACTACTGGTATTTGCAAATATGTAGTTTAATTGTATTATTGAACTCTCATTTTGGGGGCTTGGGCACATTAACAGATTAATCCATCTGTATAGGGCTTTTGCTGTTGGATAGAATTTAAATTGTCTACATGAATATTTGTCTTAGGACCCTTAGATTTTATCTGAATACACAGATTAGGCTTTAAACACAGACACACATGTCATTTTTGACATTAGGAGTTTGGCTCAGTTAGCTTTTGAACTGACACTACAGCAGCCTTTTTTGGTATGGCTAGCATGGCACATGTTGGAACGTAAAGCATTTTACTGTACAGGTAAGGAATGTGCCATGTTGTTTTACCTATTCTCTCTCTCTCTTTTCTCTCACTCCCACACACACATCCTGTGTGTATTCAGAGACCTTCAGAAACATTCATGTTCATTTTCATGAGTCAGCAAAAGCCCTACGCTTGATTCCAACAGAGTATTTCCTTTACATACTTTTCTTCTCTTAATTTTTACAAAATTTGTATGGTAGGTGTAAAAAAAATCATAGTAACTGTACCATATTATTAACCCCTAAATCAAACTTTTTTTGTCTTGTGTATCTTGATTTTTCTGTGTGCTTTATAGTGAAGCAGCCGACACGAGTCGTTGTTCATAAAACAGCTTTTGAAAGTTGAGAGCACACCCCTGGAGAACCGACTGTGCTTGCTTACGTTTGGTTCATGACTTAAAAATCGAGTACAGGTGATGAAATCTTGGCAGTGTTAACAAAAAAGTAGTGTGTATTGTGCTATTTTTTTTTTACTCTAGAAACTTAACCATTTGTAGAGAAAAGGAAACAATTTTTCACACATTGAACTTTCATTCTGACATAAAATTAATGATAAATCATAGAAATCAAACCTTATATTTTAGCGAACATAAGTACTTTCAACAAACTCAGGTGGTGTATCAGGGAGACATTTTCTGGGTGTTTTTGTGTGTTTTCTGTCTTACGAAAGAGTGTGTTCTAATGCATGGATATTTCTCTGCAGGAGTTATTCCTGATGAGACTAAGGCATTGTCTCTGTTGGCACCAGCTAATGCAGTGGCAGGTCTTCTGCCTGGTGGTGGACTCCTGCCTACCCCTAACCCACTTACCCAGGTATTTTGTTAGGCTCTTAAAAGATGCAGAGGAACACAGAAGTGTGTAGAAAGCTAAACATTGGAGTTTTTTAAGTGGTGTTATAATTCTAGTTCACAGCTTTATCATCTGTGCACTGTATAGTTAAAGGGTTATATTGTCACAAATATGAAAGGTATTCTACTTTTTTTCAAATCTACTTTTGAAGAACATTCTGAAAAGCATACCTGTTTATCAGTTCACCACTGTCTCTCAAAACAACCTATAAGTAGTAAATATGTAAAGAATAGCTCGTGAGGCATAAAACTTCTGAAAAAACTGGGTGCACATTTGAATCAGAAAAGAAAATAAAAATTTGGGCTTCTTTTTCATTCCCCCTTTCATTTTCTGCTCTTATCTTGAGATTTGAAATAAATAGGTGATTTGAAATAAAGGCAGTTACACAATAGAGATGGCTGATATGAGGGGAATGTAGTTTTACTGGATGTTTTAAAATATCATTTATTGTAATGAAACTGCTCAAAGAGACTGTAACTGGTATCGGTTTCACATGTAACAGTGAACAATGAGCTTTTATGAAAGTATTGTTTTTCATCGTTTGCTGGGTCACCAGTTAATTTAATGTACAGTATAATGTTATGGAAAGAAAATTAAATCAGGAATTAAAAGCAATAAATATAAAGATATCTGTTAAAGGAACAGATACAAAACAAACCTTTAAAATCTGGCTTGAGAACTGATACTACCTACAGAAGAAGAAAGTAGTGGGGGGTTGGGAGGACAGCAGCACAGTGAACTGGTGAAGGATGATGGCACTTTGGTGATGGTGTGATATGATCATAGACAAGATATTGTAAAGATGAGAGTTAGATGCAAAAAATGTGTTGTAAACCAACATTTCTCAAGGAAGCATTTTTAAAGAAGTAGTGTTTTTGTTTTTTTTTTTTTTTTAAGATTGATTTATTTATTCATACAGAACTGGGGTATAAGTCAGAGGTGCAGGGGCGGTGAGATGCTTCACCAGAGACAAAGTGGGGAGCAGAGCAGGCAGATGGATGAAGTACACTGCTGAGGGAAGCAGCAGGTGGGTCAGGAGAGATCTGTCATGCCATGTGGATCACCTCCAGGACCGGGAATCAAATCCACACTGAAGCAGCTGCAGCCAGCTTGCAGTGCTGCATCCTAACCCATTGCACCACCAGGGAAGGCTTAAAGAAGCAATGTCATTAACCCAAGGACATTAAAAAAAATTTCTTCTAAATCCAATTTATGAAGTAAATATGCTACAATGTGTGGGAAATGAAGCAAACTACTACAATCCTTGGCAGCCTTCTGTTTTTATACATTTTTATTAGATCACTAACACCCATTTTGTGTTACTATTTAAGAGTCTTGAGGTGGCATAGTTGAGTAGCAGTGACAGAATTCACATAAACCTGCAAGCTTAAACTTATTTAGACCTTTACAAGGGAATAAAAAGTAACTGTTGATAGAAGGAAAAATATGAAACTAAATCAAATTTGAAATTTCACAGATTGGCGCTGTTCCATTGGCTGCTTTGGGAGCTCCTACTCTTGATCCTGCCCTTGCCGCACTTGGGCTTCCTGGAGCAAACTTGAATTCTCAGGTATAACCAAATGTTCTTCCACTTTGAGTTTCTTTTTGTAATTAATAAAAGAATTAACTTCATTAACTGTTACTTGCATTTCAAAATTAATATAAAGAAATTTTTGGTTGCTGCATTGTTAGCATTACAAATTTATTTTACAGTTCAAAATAGAAAGTAGTTTAACAAAAAATTGACATACCATATCATGGAGTTAGTAAATTGTCATGAAAGAATGGGGGGCATAGATTTGTAATTTATGTTAATTTATGTTGTCATTTATTCATTTAGAAATTTTTGTCTTTGTTCCACTGTAATTTGCTTAAACTTTTATCTGAAGTCCTTTGTGAAGTCTTTTGATTAAAACTTTCTCAGAACTTGTTAAAGTAAGCAAGAAGTAACTTTTCATAAAATTTTGACCACGCAATTATTATCTTCATGTTTTACTTGCTAAAGCATCTCTATAGATTTCTAATACTATAGTCAATGTCATCTGTTCTGGTTGCTTTTTTTTTTTTTCTTACGTGGCTATCAGAAAATTTATTATATATTTGGTTGGCATTATATTTCTATTGGTCACTGTTGTGGCAAAAATATAGTACATTTGTAGGTTTGCCAGGTTATCTCAGAACATTTTCAGTATAACCCAAAAATGAAATAGTAATCATTATCTTATGTACTCTCACTGTTATGTTTTTGTTTTTGTAGTCTCTTGCTGCAGATCAGCTGCTGAAGCTTATGAGTACTGTTGATCCCAAGTAAGGGTTTTTTTCTTAGAATTGTATGTATATAAATATCTAGAAAGCATTTATTTTTTGTATTAGGTAATAAAAGCTATCTCAAGATATGCAATACATAATTCTGTTTGTAGAATGAGGTAAATCCAGAAGTCATTTTGTTTTTATGTTATTTAAGTGTTTTGAAATAACTGTCAATAATTCAAGCCAGGGTGGCATGAAAGAGATCAATGTTATCTTAGGTTGATTCATTTAAAAAATAAGTACTGAGTTCTTACTATAAGCTTTTACTTTCACAGCATTTATGCTCTGAAAGAGATGCTGCTTAAGCATAGTTAAGTAACTAGAGAAAAGAGAGCACTGCTGTGGGAATTGATTGAGAGGAGGGCAGCTGAGAGGAAGGACAAAAAAACTAAGCCCTGAAGGATGAATGGGAGTTTGGAAGGTAGAGTGAGGGAAACATCAACCCAGAAACAAAGTAGTAAGTAGTATGTGTGATATAATAATCAACATCATCTTTGAGAGGTACTTTGAGAAGTTCTCTCTTTGTGCTGTAACTGAAATGTTTTTCCTACATGATAGCAGATTCATGAGATAGTTTAGTTGGTAATATTGTAGGTTATTAAATTTGACCTTAATGCTTTTCTCCCTTAACTTGATGAAAACTCTCTGGGAGAACATGGATGGAAAGAGGACAGAATCATATAACTAGTAATTAGTGATCTTTTTCTTAAAAATTACCAAATTAAAATCAATTGTAAAATATCAGCATTACAGGTAAAATAGTATGCTTTTAGTTGTTAACTTTTCCATAAATAGCTAAAGTCCTAAATTTGGTGGCTCTAATTTTTTTCTCAAGTATAAACTCTTAAGTTGCATATTCTTTTATTGCATCTTTAAATTTTATAGGCAGAAATTTTTGAAAATTTTATATAACATTGGCCCTTACTATATTTTCTCTCCACTTGTAAGCTTAAAAGTTAATGTTCTTCAACAAATTATAATGTAAAAAGTTTTCAAACAGATGAAGGAAGACTTAATAATCAACAATTTGCATCGTCAGTCTTTTTCCTTGTACTAACTTAAAAGTGTTTATGGAAAGTTAATGACATTCAGCAAACTTAAGTAGGTATTTTCATATTCTAGCTATCTTGTGTCTTTTTTTTTTTTTTTAAGATTTATTTATGCATACAGAACTGTGGTATAGGCCAGAGTTGCAGGGGTGGTGAGAGGGTTCACCAGAGACCGAGTAGGAAGCAGAACAGGCCAATTGATGAAGTACACTGCTGAGGGGAGCAGTGGGTGGGTCAGGATAGGTCTGCCACACCAATTCTCTCTTGGTTATGTTTCAGGCTGAATCATGTGGCTGCTGGTCTTGTATCACCAAGCCTGAAATCAGATACCTCTAGTAAAGAAATAGAGGAAGCCATGAAGAGAGTACGAGAAGCACAGTCCCTAATTTCTGCTGCTATAGAACCAGGTAAAATATGTTTTTGCAGTTTTCAATCTAAAGCTGTTACTGTTCACAAAAGTGATTATTTTGAAAACTTGAATACTCTGTATGTCCTTTTTTAATTGTCTAAATTCTGATAAAATTCTAGTAAAATGATTGTTAGTGTGGGAAGCAGAGTTGCCTCCCAGGCGTTTGAAAATTTATAGAGACTTAATTGCCATGTTGGTACTAGTTGGCTCTAGTGGATAGAGAACAACTGCTGCCCCTGGCCAACAAGGAGTGATCTGTTCCAAAATGTTAGTAGAACCTGAGATTAACTATATTTGTTGTGGTATTTTGTTTATTTTTAATTTCTGGGTTTGTTAGGTTTTAGTCATTTATGTTTACCTAAGTTGGGGTAGCCTAATTGGTTTTTATCATTTGCTTGATCAAAAGAACTTTAATAAATGCTTAGGTTTATGCCATTTAAGAGAGGAAAAACTGTATTTTCTGCATTTTTTTTTCTTGTGGCAAAATGAAAGCTATCTGCCGATATTTGGGTCTTAAGTCCTGAATTTTTTTATCCATTAAAGTATAATATGGGACAAATGGTATCAACTGTTTTATGTATTATCTCATTTGATCCACAGAATATTAAATTATGAGCCCTGCATTTCTGGTAAGCAGTAGGAGCTTTTTAGATATACAGATTGATTTGTTTGACTCCAAAGCCCAGAACATGATGTAACTGTTTTCTGTTTTCATGGAAAACTCAAAAATGGAATGATTAGAAATAGTTTTGGTATGGATTATTCTTTTTATTGTTTTTGTCAACTATTTGTGTGATGACATTCACAATAAATTGAATCCTAATAATGCTAGCATGACAGATAAAGGATATCAGTCTCACTTTGACAAGAGCCCATGTGTGAAGAATGCAGTGGCTTTATGCAGTTACTAGCTGAAGGAATTTCTTCTTTAAAAGCTAGGAAATGGAGATAGATTCGTCTGTGTCTTAACACACTTACACAATTGGAAGTTGATGAATAAGAGGGATAGATAGGTTAAAATGAGACCTAGTTTACTCAGCCAGGTTCTTTCTCAGAAGTATAATGAGAAGAGTGAAGGAATAATAACTTCTAGTATGGAGGCCAAATAATAAACCTGTTAGTCACCCATGAATGTACATAGATTTATTTAGCAACTAAACATAGAGCCAAGTGATGAATAACAAAGAATATTATGCTGAACCCCCAAAAAAATTTTATTGATTTATTTTTTTTTTTCATAAACAACTATTTTATAGTTAAGCACTATTGGGAGACATGTAAATGTGTAAAATTAAATTTCACACCAGGATGACTGTAGCTATAATAATTCTAGAGTAATTTATAAATGGGAGTAATCTCCCTATTGTTTGGCAATTTATAAATCCAGATTTTTCTTCTTAAATACAGATAAGAAAGAGGAAAAACGAAGGCACTCAAGGTCAAGATCACGTTCTAGGAGGAGGAGGACCCCGTCATCTTCTAGGCACAGGTTAGGTTAATCGCTTTTTGGGGATTAAAAAAGCGATTGTATCTTAGACAAAGGTAATTCCTGTATGTCACTACCTTCTTAATTTGCTGTCTGTTAAACCTGCTAACTGCTGAATTAATGCTCACAGTTAAATCACGCAAGTGTCTTCTTTGATACAACTATTGAACTTTAAATACCAGAACTGTTTTGTGCGTAACACCCCATTTCATTGCGTAGACTATTGCCCAAACGACTAGGTTTTGAAATACTGCTTTAATTGTACTGGGCCTAAATTTAATAAAATCAGTTTTTACTGCTTCATCAAGATAAACATCCTTAGTGAAAATGGGTTTTTTTCTTCTTACATTGAAAGTACATACTGCAAATGCCAGTGGAGAACAATACAGTGACTACTAGGTCAGTTCAGTTACCACTGCCTTGATTTGTACTAAAAGAGATGAGAGCCCTTTTACACTACCATTGTTTTTGCACTGTTGGTGCAAATGTCAGTACAGTGGAAAAGGCCAGTAATGTCGTTACTATCTTGAAAGTAATTTTGTCTTCATTAGACTCATGACATTATCAAGTTAGTTTTGGGCCTAGCCCATTCAACTGCTATAAGAAGAAATCATAGATTGAATAACTGGTAAACTACAACAGAAATTTCTTCAGTTCTAGAGGCTATTCATTTATAAATCCTATTCATTTATAAAGGCTGTGCTCTCCTGATATCATCTACCAAAGACCCTACTGCAAAATACTATACTTAGGGTAAGGTTTCACAGAATTTTTGCAGTACACATTCAGTCTACTCTAGACTGTTACAGGATTGTCCTAGGTGGTGTTTCTGTTTTATTCCCTGCTTTTCTATGACTCATCTTGTTCTTAAAGCTGACTTTCAAAAACACAAATCTGGATCATGTTGTAGCTCTATTAAACCTTAAGTTCCCTATTATTTTAATAAGGTGACATATTAAAAACTAGAATAACTTAGGGTTCTTATTATTTGGCCTGGTTTGTCTTCCCATCCTCTGTCTCAGTTGCCCTTCCAAAACAGCCATGGTACACTTGCCTGGATGTAATAATTTTCACTCAGGATGTTTCTTTCTGCATAATGGTATTTAGTACATATTTACCTCCACTTGAGGGATTCCTTTGTTCAAAATACAGCTAAATTTTACACTTATGTTAAGTGTCAGTACTATGTAGAGTTGTAATCTTCCAGGACAGTTGCTGTCATAACTTCCTTTAATATGTAAAAAGGATAAAGATGTTTTCTCTGTACATACTAAGTACATGTAAGAGCTTAAATTGTAATTTGAAATAACAGTGAGACATTTTATTTCCCAGAATGCAGTGTTTCTGGACTGTGTGGATACTGTACATCCTAACAGACAGATGATTATTAGAGGTTGTAGTGTCTTACATCTCTTGGTATTTTAAAAAATGACCACTGGGCTTACGTAAAGCTTTCTTATATATTATATGCACATTAAGCGAGATTTAAACTTGAACATCTTCCATTTCTAAATGTCCCATCCTCTGCTGCTTTAAATAAAGGTAAAAATTGACTTTCCAAACCCCAAAATTTTTCATGTAAAGAGTTTGTCTAGTAATTAGGTGTAAAAGAGATCAAGTCTAAGGAAAAGATTGCAGTTTTTAGTGATCTTCTTAAAAATCAAGGAAAATGAAATACAGGAAGAAGGATCCCTGACAATATTAAAGTGTAAATTGTTTGGATGACCTCATAATAAAGGCATAAATGTACTTTTAATAGGGTACTTTTCTAAAAGAAAGGCTTTTGTTAGGTTCCAGGAAAGAGATCATCATATAGGCATATTGAGAAGAAACAAAAATAAGAGGCAGTTTATACAGAATTTTATATATATATAATGTGTGTGTGTGTGTGTGTGTGTGTAGCAAGCATTGCTTAGATTTAGCTTAAATTATAAATCAAAGAAATGGAATATTTTTAGAGAACAATTAGAAGTAACAAAGTAGCATTCAGAAAGCAAGTAATTAGCATATATATATTTGAAGACTGATTTAACATGCAGCAGTGAGGAATCAAAAGCATACTAAGTTACATTATGAGAGATAATGCAAGTCAGATAAATGTTCCTTTTAATCTTTGCCATTATTTTTAACTTTGGAGTTTTAGTTTCAGCACACTTAGAAGCACTGAATTGACAAATTGAGCAAAAGGTCAAAATGTATATCATTATAGGTCTTAACAGGTACTGTTGTATTTTTGGAATATTAGAGATGTTTATTGTAAGAGCTAAATAGATAATGGCAGCACCCAACAGGAAAGTATGTGAATTTTTTTACTGGTGCCAAGTATTCACAAGCAGAGCTAGTTTTTTTTTTTAACATTTATACATGTATATTGGCTTTATTTCATATTTTTAGGCGATCAAGAAGCAGGTCAAGGAGGAGATCACATTCTAAGTCAAGGAGTAGGCGACGATCCAAAAGTCCAAGACGGAGAAGATCTCATTCCAGAGAGCGAGGTAGAAGGTCAAGGAGCACATCAAAGAACAGGTACATTAAGCTTTAACATTGTGTGGGAAGACAAATTTTAAAGCTCCGAGATCCCAAAACTATTACTGACAGAAGTGGGAGGTAGAACTAGACTGGAGAGAAATGTTTACAGAGTTTGAGGAAACATTTTGTAAATAAACCAGATTCCTATTTATAGCAAGGCCTATAAAAATAACTTTTCTTTGCAGTAGAAAATTTTAGCTGTCTTACTACCACCTTTCACTTCCACTCCACCACCACTAAAGATTTAGTGCTAATGGCCATTTCTCATAGTATGCCAAAATTTAAAACATCTCTGACTTCTCCTGATAACATTTTAAACTTTTATGTATATTAGGGTGTCTTACACTATGGTGTGGAACCAGTAGAGAGTTAAAGCTTCATTTAAAAAAAAAAACCCTCATCTTCACATTTCATTTCGACTTAAACATTCATTAATTGACTTTTATATTTAAGACAGAACTATCACTTGAAACTTCCTAGATTTTTAGAATTTTTTAATTTCACAACACTGTTAAGTAACTGTCTTAATCTTTCTATTTGATTTAACTTTCTAAGATGTGGCCATGTTTCATGTTACTTTATCTGTTCTTTTGATTATTTAATTTAAAATAAAGATAGCCGGTTACCAATAAAATTTATTCTAGTAAGAATATAACTCAGCTGAAAACTGAGATTCTGGTATAACTACAGAAATTTCAGACTTTTCATCACTAAATTTACAGCGAGTTATCTTAGTCAATCGTGTGTGTGTGTGTGTGTGTGTGTGTGTGTGTGTGTGTGTGTGTGTGTGTGTTTGATAACTGATAGATTTAACATGCATCAGCGAGGAATCAAATGCATGCTAAATTACTTTGGTACTTGTAGAAAGATGACGCAAATCAGGGTATTGTTCCTTTTAATCTTTGCCATTATTTTGGAGTTAAGTTTCAGTAGACACAAAAGCACCAGTTTGACAGATTAAACAAAAGACTTAAATGTACGGAATTATAGGTATTAAAAGGTACTGCTGTGCCATGCAGGTAACTCCTTAGTTAGGGATTGAGCTTGTGCAGCAGTGGCTGCTAAAAACCCTTTGCACCACCAGGGAGGTCCTCAGATTTTACATTTTTTTTTTTTTTTTTTTTAAGATTTATTTATTCATACAGAACTGGGTACAGGCCAGAGATGTGGAGGGTGAGAGGATTCACCAGGAACAGAGTGAGGAGCAGAACAGGCAGATTGACGAAGTACACTGCTGAGGGAAGCAGCGGGTGGGTCAGGAGAGGTCTGCCACGCCATGTGGATCTCCTCCAGGGCAGGTGGGGATCAAACTCATGTGGAATTGGCTTAAGCTTCTTAGTGCTGTGCTTTAACCCGCGGCGCCACCAGGGAGGGCCCGATTTTACATTTTTTATTGTTTTTAATGCTGTGTAAGTTTAAGCTATTTTAATGTGTTTATGAATTGTGTTCATTTCTTAAGAGACAAGAAGAAAGAAGACAAAGAAAAGAAACGTTCCAAAACACCACCAAAAAGTTATAGCACAGCTAGACGTTCCAGAAGTGCAAGCAGGTAAGGTGCATTACAAAGTCTTAGCATAGTTTTTTAACTTTGTATCAGAATTAATAGTGCATCAATATGTACTTTGGTTTTGATGTTTTTGTTTTGTTTTTATTTTGTTTAAGCAATTTCTGAATGACCTAAAATTTATCTTTTATCTTTATACTTATGTTGTAGAAAATATGTGAAATAACAGGATTTTACAGGACTTTTTTTTTTATGTTTACTATAGGCAGATCACATTCTGATCTGTTTTGTTCCCTAATATTTATGTTTTGATGACGATGTAAACTGAATTATTACATGAAACTTACTTTATTATAGCAATGAGGACATAAATTTGCAAAGCATATATTTTGAATAAGAACTGCTACAACTCAACAGATTATAAGACAGTCAGAAATGTGCAGAAGCCTTAGACGCTTTTCCAAAGAAGACAGAGATGGCCAACAAGCTTATGAAAAAATGCTGATCATACTTGTCATCAGTGAACTATAATTCAAAGCCCCAGTGATCTACTACCTTACCTTACACCCATCTTTAATTGCTCAAAGCAAGAGGGATGGGGATAAGGGAAGGTGTACTCTAGGTTATAAGCATTTTGATTTCTGTTACCAACTAATGTTAATTTTCTGAAATTTTACTCAAGATTCAAAAGTAATTTTTGTTATTAATCAGTCTTTTCTCAAGTTTAATATTCTAATGCCTTGGTAGCATAATCCCTTTAAGTATTGCTAGAATTGGATTTACTTGGGCCTTAAAGGAAAAGCGTATTGTTTACAAAGAGTTGCAGTTTTTATAGTCATTTGATTCCTTAATTCAAAATAGTATTTGAAAACAGAACTCTGTTGTTGGAGTGCCTAATGGAGCACCATCATAGAAACATCTGTCATGTGTCTGCATTTTTTAGATAATACTGTATTTTAAAGTCTAGTTTATACATCTGTGGTTTTAGAGATAGAAACATCTGTCATGTGTCTGCATTTTTTAGATAATACTGTATTTTAAAGTCTAGTTTATACATCTGTGGTTTTAGAGAGAGAAAAAGACGACGAAGCAGAAGTGGCACGAGGTCTCCTAAAAAGCCTAGGTCTCCTAAAAGAAAGTTGTCTCGCTCCCCATCCCCTAGGAGGTAAGAAATTATGTAAATCTGTCTTTTCTATTTTCAGAAGCTGTTGATTTTGAGTTACCTCTTAAGGAACTAAGTGCCTAAGATGCTGATATGTTCCCTTCATGAGTTGAGGCTTGTAATGAAGTATTTAAGACTGAATGTTTTGTTTTAGACCAACACCCAAGTTATAGTCTTGCATAGAATGCTTGTGCATGGCATGTGTGCTTTGAAATCACATCTTTGCTGTCCTACTTAAATTACGTGAACTTGGATTAAGCTTTCCATATGAACAAATTGAAACCTATTGCTGGACGTATGGATAAAGCTTGAATGATTCTGTTTTAAGAATCTTTGTTTGAGGACAATTTACTATCATCCTAGACATAAAAAGGAGAAGAAGAAAGATAAAGACAAAGAAAGAAGCAGAGATGAAAGAGAAAGATCAACAAGCAAAAAGAAGAAGAGTAAAGATAAGGAAAAGGATCGGGAAAGAAAATCAGAAAGTGATAAAGATGTGAAAGTAAGTCTAAAAACTAACTTCCTTTGGTATTTGGGCTGGTGCTGGTACTTTTAAGAAGTGATTTTTCTTTGAAGAAGTTTACTTTTATTATTCTCCTTGGCAAAGCAGGTTACACGGGATTACGATGAAGAGGAACAGGGGTATGACAGCGAGAAAGAGAAAAAAGAGGAGAAGAAACCAACAGAGCCAGGTTCCCCTAAAACAAAAGAATGTTCTGTGGAAAAGGGAGCTGGTGATTCACTGAGAGAATCCAAAGTGAATGGAGATGATCATCATGAAGAAGACATGGATATGAGTGACTGAATATCGCCTCCATGAGAATTTGACTGTATACATGCATCAGTGTCATTCCTTTGTGTGATTTCTTAATGCTGTATTTGTTCATCTCAAACCTAGATGTATACAGCTCTGAGTTATAAATGGTTATAAAGCTCCTAATATTGACATTAGTTATTTACACCAAAAATCTTTTAGAAAATGATAATGTGGGTAACCAATTCTTGACATGGTGAAATGTGATTGAGTAACCAAGCAGTTTTACAATTCTGGTGCTGCTTCATAACAAAAGTGAAAAGCTGCATGCATCTACAGCAGGCATGGATTGTTTATGTTGTATGATCTCCTTTATTACGTAAGTTCACTTATAGTATTTCTAGAATTTGATTCATTGCCGTAATAGAGCCATGTAGGGAATGCACTGATTGCATGTTAATTGTGGCAGGAATATCCTAAATGTCATTAAAATCTCCAACATGATGGATCTACTTAATGGTCTTGTTTGTTGACATGACGAATTAACATTCTTATAGTTACATCTGAAATGAGCATTGAAATAGATAATCCTTTAAGCCTTGTGGCTAAATTTTTGTGGCTTTTGTTTAACTTTGAAAGGTGTTACATGCACTAACCTTTTTTTGATGGCTAATTAGGCTTTAATTACAGAAACAAGATTTCAAATGAAACTGTCTTTGACAGTAAGTAAATAGCATATTTTGAGGTAGAATTGTATACTTTTTCATAAGGTATTTGGGAAATTTTTCCTGAAATAATTTATTTCACATCTCCACCAGTGAAGCTGTCTGCCTGAGTCCACCTATACAAGGAAGTTTTCTCTTGTCCTGATTTTCAATTTTCCACTCCTTTATTAATTTGTTTTAATCTCAATGTTGGAAAAAGGGGATAGTGCATTTTTAATTGACCTTCATATGCTTTTAAAATAAGACAAATCTACTTGATAATGTACTTTTTATTTGATCTCAAGTTGTATAAAACCAATAAATTTGTGTTACTGCAGTCGTAATCTTAAGCACCCAGTGATTCCATGTTAAAATGCAAAGTAGTTAAGCAATTGTTTTCTTAGTTACAGGAATTTCAAGCTTCACTTTTGTGCAGTAAAAAACAAAAGTAGGCTACAGTCTGTGCCATGTTGATGTACAGTTTCTGAAATTGTTTTACAAGACTTTGATAATAAAACCCTTAAACTTATGTTCATGTTCCTGTAAACCCGTATTTGTATTTATTTACACTGTTGAATGTATGACATTTACCTCATTCATTTTACAAATCAAGTTTTTCCCCTTTCAATTCACATGTTTAAAAATAGTAAGATGAAATCCATCATCTATAGTGATTGTCATCAGAATTGTCAAAGTTGGTTTCATTTCTCTCTACAAGTCTTTCCTAGTGTAATGTCACATATTTGGGTGCAGGAATTTGGTTAACCAAATGATCCCACCTATACCTAGTGAATTTATATTTTCAGTGAAATATAAATACCTTTTCTGGAATAGTATAGAGATTGCCAATGGTATATATACTGTATAATACTAAATAGTATATTCATTTATGAAATGAGTAGTGTTTTGAGTGGCTGGGATTAAGGGGATACTTGGAATTGTAGCTTTTATCAAAGTTGAGTATGTTTTTTTAACTTTTAAAACTGAAATGTCATATAGAAAAGCAGCATTGTTTCTACAGTTTGTAGTAAGTAACTTTTTAAAGATTTTATCAGAAGGAATTTTGTCTATAGTAAGATCTATTAGTCCTAGTAATCACTGCATTTTTAAGCAAAAAGTTGAACAAAAATGACATTTAACCTTATAAAAACTTTATAGAAATTTGAATCATCTGACATAATCATTTTTGTAAGTCAGAAGAAAAATACTGGCAGTTTCACATGGTTAGACCTATTACTCAGAATTCATTCCCTCACTTGTAATCTCTGGATACAAATACAACTTTTCAAAAAGGGATAAGAAACTTTTGACTCTAGAATAGTACCAGAAACTTAAGATGCTACCATGAGGGGAATTCATACCAAGGTTATGGTGAACATTTTATGCACAAAGGTAAGGTTGCACTGGGACACAGCCTTGCACCAGATAAAGTGGACACTGCCTCCACACTGGGTTTTGTTCTGTATTTGGTAGTAAAAATGATCAAGAAATAAAAATGTTTTTGTTAGAAAAATGTTTGTCCTATTTATTTGCTTAAATTCATCAGAAGTGAGATAGTGGCTCAGTCCAATTATGAATTTGGGATTCATTCAGAGCTGAAATCTTAACGATGATTTCCCTGTCTTCAGGTGAAAGTGGTTACCTGACCTTGCAGCGTATTTAATAGTTCCACTCAAATAGTTCCGCGTGCCTGGGTCAGTACATGGTACTTGCTCTTTGATAATGAAGCTTTTCAAAAGTATGTGGTAATTTGATTTGGGGCAGAGAAAGATGCTAACAAATCAAAAATTAGACCAAGATGGCCTTTTGTGTTACTGTAAAAATGTCTTTGCATAATAACTTCCTTGAAGCAATTCTATATGGAAGAACAAAATCTTTGGGCTACTGGAACCAGTAAAAATTAACTTTGGATTTGCACCTTAGAGCATGTTCTGATATGGGCATTATATATTCAGAACAAGGATCAATAAATAAGCACTTTCTTCGATTGGACAACCAGATGAAATAGCTTAAGGTTAATGTTTAAAGATCAATACATACCCTTTAATCTGGAAATGGGATTTCCATCTATTCTGCCTAAAATTTAATGCATTTTATCACTGTTATCCAAAATACTTGTCAAGTATACAAGCATCTATTTTAGTCAGGAGAATGTTGCTGGTGCTTTCTCCAGAAAATGCCTATTACACTAATATCACTCAGTTTTCCAAATTGAGACAGTCATGAAGTGGTAGATAAATTTGAGTCTGTTTTTGCTGTTCTGTGCTTGTTCACATTTTCACTTTACGCTAAAGTATATGTGAAATTCATTTTAGACATACTTTGGAAATATCCATAAAAATCATGTTAACCATGCCCATTCTGTACTAGAGTATTTTTCATTTTTAAAATTTATACATACAAAACGGGTACAGGCCAAAGGTGCAGGGGGTGAGAAGATTCACCAGACAGTGGGGAGCATAACAGGCAGATTGAATTACACTGCTGAGGGAAGCAGTGGGTGGGCCAGGAGAGATCTGCCATGCCATGTGGGTCACCCCCACCCCCACCCCCGCTGGGGATATAACTTATGCTGCAGTGTCCGGGATAACTTCATAGTGCTGTGCCTTAACTAGTTGCATCACCAGGGAGGGTATATTCTTAATATATGGAAATATTTTTAATAAACAATATGCTACTAACAACCTAAGACAATTTAGAGAAAGGATCTGATGCCACTAACATTCTTTAAGTCATATCCATACAAAAACAACAGGGAAAGTGACACGTTCACCTTTTCAGTGACTATTTTAAACGTTATTTTACCATCATTTTACTAAAATTAGTGTTATGTCTTTTTTTTTAAAGCTAATTAGCTAAAGTATTATTGTGCATAAAAACTTAAGGTCTAGGGTAACAAAGAATAGGATTTTCTAAATGCTTTTAAATATTAGTGTACAATTATTTCAATATATAATTTTATCCACTAAATACAATTTTACACACTAAAAATCTACGTTTTCATACATAATGTTAAAAGTTACAATTTAGTCCACAGTGTAAACAGCTGAAGAAGGAACTAGGGGGAGGTAAGTAATTCTATGTTCAGTGCTACCTCATCCCAAAGAAACCAGCAGGTATAAGCCACAATGTGTATAAACTGTAAAACTTCTGCTGCTGTTCTTCTAAGCCTTACAATACCCCAGCTAGTCATCTAGTCATTTCTAGTCTTCTTCAGTAGTCAAGAAATTGTGGGAGGTACAGGTGTGTGTGTATGTGTGTATGTATATATATATATATATATATATATATATACATACACACACACATACATATATATGTACAAAGTCAGAAGGGTTTGTTGTTATTTTGCAAAAACTACTTCCAGCTAACAAAGTCATTTTCACCTGCAAAATATGATCAAATCAGGAGTGATTGCTATGTACCTTTCTTTAAAACCCTTAAGAGGCCCTCCCTGGTGGCGCAGTGGGTTAAGGCACTGCACTGAGAAGCTAAAGCCACCTCCGCATGAGTTCGATTCCCGCCTGCCCGGGAGGTGGCCACATGGCGCGGCAGACCTCTCCTGACCCGCCCGCTGCTCCCCTCAGCAGTGTACTTCATCGATCTGCCTGTTCTGCTCCCCACTGTCTCTGGTGAATCCTCTCACTGCCCCTGAGCCTCTGGCCTGTACCCCAGTTCTGTATGTACAAATAAATAAATCCTTAAAAAAAAAAAAAAAACCCTTAAGAGATTTTTTTTCAGTGTTTTTAGGTGCCGTGGCACAATTGAAATTGTAATTCTACAATTGCTGTGGCTCTAAGTAGTATTCCAGTATCAGCTACAATTATTTATTATCACTACATAGTACAACAGGGATGGTCACAAGATCTATGTATGATAATACCTGGTGACAAGATAATGTTGCCACAGATTACTAACAATGGTTTTGTGAAACTTTTTACTAGCTAATTCATAGTATACAAATTAAACTATAATATAAGCTTTTACCAAGTTTCACTGTTTTCTTTGAAAGAAATTTTAGTAAGGAAGCATTTTGTTAATTTTAGAAAATGGTTAAGATACTCTGTCTACATTAGTGGCAAAGACATTGTGACATACTAACCAGTAACTTTCACGCAGTTTTAAAAGTCTAGCTTACCAGTTTGGCAAAATCCCCTACTTATCTCAGCTTTTTCCTCTTTTGAGGTGGTTACAAATAGAAGGACCAAATAAGCAAAATAAACTGAAAATATTTATTCCATCTCTGTGTGGTCTTACAGTAGGACTGTGTTTGCTGTAATCAGTGAAAACTAGGGCACAAGCTCACTAAATCAATTCACACCTTCAACCAAGGTGTGACTTAATACAGGTGAATAACATTATGAAACCCATTTTTTATTAGTGTGAGTGGTGGGTGCTCAATACCAATTCTAAACATGAGAAGGAAACAGTTTTTCAACTTGTTAGCTCTCAGTTTCTCTCTGAAATCTCTAATTTCCAGGTCTTTGTATGTTCTTATAACAATCACAGTAAGTGTTTTATGCCTCCTCCACGAAGTTTGACAATGTTTTGTGTATGAATGTCTATAGCAAATTCTCTAATGCTCTTAGGGATAATTAAAGTCAAAAATCTTCATCTTTTGATACCATCCCGGTGCCAAGAATATTGAGCATTCATAAATGGTCATTTAAAGTGACCATTTTTATTATATCCCAGGTTTATAGAATCTTCAACCACAAATGAAAGGAACATAGAATTTTATGGGACTACATCTAGATTTTACTGTGAGTTAAAATGACAGTATATGATGTTTTGCTCTACTTAATTGAAACACAGCATAGAGCTTAATTAACCAATTAAAAGACACATTTTGAAAAATCTAATATTGTGAAAAGTTTATTTGCATTAATTGGCTCCTTGTTTTCACCATCATAAGAGATAATGACATTTGTTTGTCCTATGTGATCAGATAAAAGACATTTTGGAATGGATAATCTTTCTACTATTGTTTTATGAAAGGAAAAGAGTTAAAAACAAAATCCAAGTGCAAAAGTTTTCAGTAGTCTTCGTACCTCCAGTGTACCCCAGTATAATATTCACAGCTTTTAGGAAATGGATCAGTCACAAGCTGCAATTTACCATGTTTTATCCCCACTAAGATGTCTGTACTTTATGAAAAAAATTGGCAGTATATTCCTTAAAGTGTACTGTACTCCCCCACAAAGTAAGGGAGCTTAAAAACAACAGTGATCAATGTCTTTCAGTATGTGAAACTTTATATAATCACTGACAGGAAAATTCAGTCTCTATCACCGACTCTACAACCATTCCCAAAATAATAGGGATCAATTTCTACTCAATAAACCTAGTCTGGGTTTACCAACTCTTTCCAATTCAACAGACCCACATAAGGAAATAAGTGGTCTTTGAATTTTTAACCATGATTATTTTGTGTCATTATAAAATGTATTAATAAAATGTCAGCATATGCAATGTCGAATGTATCAGTATGGAGATGCAGCTTAAAAGATGTTTATTATAAAAAATTTATGGTTGATGCTTTGGATTTTTAAATAAATCATCTCTTCAATAAAGGTCTTTAAAATTCATTCAAATTACTTAAAATCCTGGAAAACATTTAAACTACTGCTCACTCTAAAAAACTTGACAGATGCATTCTGACATATTTACCAGGATACATTATAAAAAAAACTTTTCTTTAAGCTAAGCTCTTTCATACAACGTAACATTTTATGACTGTATACATTATTCTTTCTAATTTACTTTTATTTTTGGACCTTCAAACCATCTTGGAATAAACATGAAAATTTCAAGTGCAAAAATGAGTAATGCATGATTTTAACACTTTGCAAATAAGTAAAATCAATAACTATTTTAAGACTTAAAAAAATAAACAGCAATTGTCAGTCTTAATATGTTTCTGGAATTTAACTTGTAGCAAATATATTGTTAACATATAAAATGTTTTCATCTTACTGTGAAAACAGTAAATATGTAGGGGATGTCCAAAATACATGGGTTGTTTTTAAAACTGACACCAATGCATCCATATTCCACTAAAAAGAAAATAAGTAGAATGATGTACACATATTAGGAAGCAAGTTTAAAAATTTGGAGTTTTTTAAAGTGCTGATTTGGAAGAGGAATATCTTTAAGCATGCTAACCATACCTTATCATGAACACAAAAAGATTTTAAACTCAAGTTTAGAAAAAAAAAAAAATAGAGGTTCTATGAAAGAAAGATTAGTAACAAACATTTCCATTGAAGAAAGAATTCAGGTAAAAACAAATAGCACCACAATGAAATGCACTAAGGTGCTAAAGGAGGTACCTTATTCCCTGCAGTGTGAACGCTCCTCCTGAAATGTATTGCAACATATAAACGCAATTGTTTAATGGTTACCATTTGGTTCATTCATCTACAGAAAACTGCATTCCTTCTAGTTCATTATATTGAATAAACATTCAAATTACTGAACTATACATAATGTTACATAATTTACATTTTATGA